CTTTTATTGGTTAACTAAAAGTTATTAAGAAATAGCTCAAGTATTACCATGTCTTTATGTCGCATGGTGCCATTTACCGTTAACAGGCTAACCTTTTGCAGTATCTAAACTCCATCTTGAGGTTTCAGGAGAGGTCTTCTGTGCAAGAGAGGAGCAATCTGCTCAATAATCAACTAATATTGTCTTATGCTATAACTGTGTCAATAGCTGAGTAACAAGCAATAAACATTACATGGTAATAACAACAAAATGCACGAGTAACCGAGTGTTGGTTTACGGGGCGAAAATCTAGCACATACTTTAATCAGTCACTGGTCAGCTTACGCCGTGTTTCTATGCATGGTAACCAATAATCCCGCGCCGAATCGTACAAACGCGCGCGACTGGAAAACACGGGTTGAAACTACCTCACACCAAGCGCACTTCCGTGTACGACCTTCGAGATTCTGTCAAGTAGGCTACAAACTATACTGTTTGTAAGCATCCCTTGTAATTTTAAGGTTTTCCATTATCGTTAACGCCGTCCGTTCGCATTTATAACTGCGAGTGTCCCACTTATAAACACAAAGTTCGTCCTGCAATTCCGGCTGAACAGTTTCTCACAGTTTATGCCTCGATAAGGACGGTAAATATGCCAGACAGCCACTTCAGTCTGCCTATCAGACTTCAACAACTAAACGCTGTTTGCTGTGGTACCGCATATGAAAGCATTAACATGGCTTTCAAAGCAGAACAAGTCGACGTTTTTCATTTCAGTTCTAACGAAAGAAGCAATAAAGGCGACATACATTCGTTGGAGGTTAGTCATGACTGCGAATTGTCACATTTCTCCTAATCTGCCATCCGCAAACCGTCCGAGATCGGCAAACTTAACAAACTACCCTTAGAGAAATGAGTAACGGCACGGGTTATATGTGACTGACGTCCGACGACCTATCATGAACTATAAGGCTTCCATTTTAATTGCGGCCGCAGTCTAGAAGCCGCGGTGGTCGAATAGTTTTGTGCAATCGATAAACGAAAGGCACTGACAGCAAAAACCAGATAAGTGTTGTCATTCATACGCCTAGGCTAAAAATCAAGTGGAACAGGTTCCAGGCCTCGGTTCTTCCCGACCTGCGGTATGACTGCCAACAAGTAGTAAGTCGGGAATGGCTATCTCCCACATAAGTCTGGGTTTAGAGGACCCCGACCTCACTGGGTTCTACAGATCCTTATTCAACCAATGAGTGTCTGCCGGCGTGATATTAAAGTAAAACCTATAAATATTAGGAGCAGCGTTTTTCGATCAGAAATATATGTGC